ATAAATAAATACCTGAACCCCAGCTTTAACACCTGACATTATCTTAAGTCTTCGATCTTGCACGATGGTATCTCAAACACATTTCTCGAAAGTTTGTCCAGCAATAGCACATTATGCAGCTTCCTCAGTGCTGTTCTCTTAAGTGCTGTTCCTAAACACCCACACCTATCCTGCAACCCCTTTCCTTCTGAGAAAAAGCAGCTTTGTCAGAAGAGGAAAAGTAAAACTTAATGTTTTCTGTATCGCTCCATGTTTCTAGTACAGTATAGTCTTGTCTGCCTCACATTTCTCTTTACACAGTACCACCTGTGTATTTATGCACCATCCACATACATCCTTCATAGTAATTGTCTTCCTATATTTTCACCTGGAGGCGAAACCTTTACAGCAGTGATCCCCAACCTTTTCCAAACTGTGGACTAGTTGGGGGGTCTGTGGGCAGCGGGGCCAGGCATCCCCTGTGCTTGTGGGTGGGGTGCACTCACAGGTGGGCAGGGCATGCTCACGGATGGGCAGGGTGCACTCGTGGGTGGGTAGGGTGCACTCATGTGCTTGTGTGGATGGGTGGGGCACACTCATGGGTGGGTGGGGTGCATTCACACGCATGCGTGGATTGGCAGGGCACTCGTGCATACTGGTGGGTGAGCCGTGCGTGCATGTGGGGATGTGTGGGGGGAGTTGCATGCAGGGGGTGGGAGATCTGTCTTCACAGCCCAGTCCTGCCAAGGCCACAGACTGGCACCAGGCTACAGACCAGGGGTTGGGAAGCCCCTGCTTTACAGGCTTACTTGCAAATGAATGTCATCAGTCTTTACTTACAAGGATATTGAGATAAGACTGCAGTCTTGAAGCACAGTTCTTTGCATATTTGCTCAGAGTTTATCTGAGTTCATCTGCACTTCTCTTCAGCACCTCTTTTGAGAAGGGCAACCATGCAGTGCAGTCCTCAACCATCAATGGGGATTACTTTCAAGTAAGTAAGTACTTCATACTGCCACTTTACATCACATCCCTATATATTTCTACTCAGGAGTAAGCCCAGCTAGGATCTTTGGGACTAATCCATATGAAAATGTGCACAGAATTGGAACCCTAAATGTTTTTTGATATATTTTAGGCACTCCAGGACTGAGAGGACTTACAGGCCCCCAAGGAGAAAAGGGTGAAACAGGTAATCAAAGATGAGCTATAGAAACAGATCAATATAAAAAAGCAAGTGAATTCCTCCCCACTTGCCAATGATAGTTTCTCAATGCTTTGATTTCAGGTATCGTGGGGCCGAAGGGATCAAAAGGAGAGCATGGATCCCCAGGTAACACATTACCTATTTGCTTGCTAGAGATGGATGTTACGTTTAGCATAATATGCTAGCATTCTACATATTTTGATACATGTTAAAAAATCTTCTTTCCATTACTCTTCTTTTACTTCCAGAATAATTGAACCAATATTTTTGGACAATCATGTAGATCAGCACCAATCAGTCTTCTTGCAAAAGCTACCTCACTTATTGCATTCTCTTAAATAAGTCCTCAAAGAGACACTTCAAATAGGCTGATTTTATACGTATGCTCAGAACTTCATGGGCTAATCATAATATTGCTAAAAGCATCTTTCAAGGGGTACAATTCATCTAGCTTTTCTGACTTTGGTCTCTGAGATTGTTGCACTATTGCTCCCATCATCTTTGACCACTGGTCACACTAACTAGAGACTATAGGAGTCCAAGGACATCTGGGAACCTTAGATTGGGATAAGCCAATCTAAATGTATGAAACTTTAGAATGTCACTTTTTAAAGTATTCAGGCCAGGCTAAATACCAGAAAGACAATTTCTCATCAAATAAGTGGCAGTCCTCTTTGGAATGATGATGACCATGTCTCAATCAGGGTGATATAGAAATAGCTACAATTGCAAAAATGATCAATACCTTTCTCAGTGTCAGTGACATTGCATGATCACACTGAAAATGTAAGAATTAAACCTAACAGCATGTAATGCAGATTTTGAAGGCTTAGGTGAGCATGTAATAGCTTCAACAGCTTGTGTCCAAATCCGGTTTCTTTTGACCGTGGTTGCCATGGCACATTTTGCATATGGTTGCTTTTGGTGCATTGTCTGCATAAGGAAATGTGCGCTTGGGGTATCCCCTTATATATGTAAGAAACCCCCTCACTTTGAACAGTCTGATTTTCAATTGGCACAACTCTGAGCCAGAGATTGTATGTCCATGGAGATGTAAAGCTTTGCGTTCCCATGAGGATTCTGTCCTTGATGCTTTTCTCCACTGGGTACAGACAGCTAACCTTGTATACCTGCTGTACTGAGCTCATTTCTGGCAAACCCATTTTCCCAAGTGGCAGTGTTCCCATGAAGAGTCATATTAGATCAGGTCAAAGACTCATTTGAGGCATAGTGAATCTTTGCCCTTCCAGACAGTTTGAATGACAACTCCCCCAATTCCTTACCATCAACCATGCTGGGTGGGTCTGATGGGAGTTGCAGGTCAAAGCAAGTTTTTCCTGAAAGTTCAAGGAAGTTGTATTTTAGATTATAACTCTCAGGTCACCCACTGTAGTCCAGAAAAGTACTTGGCACCTCACCCTAGTCTATCTAGCCCAGCATTGTGTTTCCACGGAGACCAACCAGATATCTATGGGAACACCACAAGTAGGACCTGAGCACAACCACACCCTCCTGCAGATGACCTCTTGCTGGAGAGGGACATGGACAGACATTCGTCCTGTAATTATGGAGGAAATGTTCACAGCAGTGAAAATTTCTATCAGGATATTCTATGACATTTGCAACTATGTTTCTAGGATCCTGAAATCATTTTGTTCCAAATGTTATCATGTTTGTTCCAAAAGTTATTTGTTGGACTACTGAGGATGGTAAGAGGGTTTCAGTGGTGTCCTCCATATTTTAAAGTGGTTCTATTGAAAACAAAAACAGAAACACAAGCAGACCAGTTAGTGATAGGACCTTTTGGAAATCATACAATAATCATAAATCAGATGTTACTTGATGGTGCATCACAACATAAAGGCTGTAACCCTATTGTGAAGTTATGCAAAAGGCATTACTTTTGGAAGTGCATTTCTGCCAGTTAAGAAATCTCCATGGGCTTTATCTGTGGCATGCAAAGTCACACAATTTGGGATGCAATGTATAATGTATATAAAGATTTCTTAACTTGGGGCAAATCAAAATGCTAGACCTTTTACTTAACTACACAACAGACTTTTGACCCCAAAGTAATAATGGCTCTGTGTGTGTG